CAGCACTTAAAACTTGGAAACATAGGACTTGGGAGTAAATGAAGCCGAGACGTGTTCTTGTTTCCGTGCCTGAACACAAGAACACAGAACAGGGGTTTTCTGCTGTCACCTGGTCAGGCAGGTAAGGTTAAACCAACATGACCAGACTTGAGGTGCCTGCTTAGTCACAGTGATTTGCATGAACGGGCAGCTCAGCCGGTGTTAGATGCAAGTCCTCCTCTCTCAGCATGGAATATGCAATGTGCAGAGGTCTGTGGTGAAGCGGCCAGCTTGGTGCGAGTGAGTGAGATCAGCCTTCTAGGAGGAGAGGTGTGCAAGGCATCCGCTGCTGTGCTTTCCTTGAACCTCACAAGGAGGACCACTCTAGCTGCTGGAAATTATCACAGTGTGATATCCAGAATTGGATTTTATTATTTTATTTTTAAACATGATGTACTTTTGCTTTGTTTCTATACATAGGCTGCTCAGAAGCATTGTAAACCACATTGATGATCTACAGACAAGCTACAGTGGGACTTGTCTACAGGCCTATTTTAAGTAGTTCCATGAAAGTATAGTCTAGAGAAGACTCATGTCTATCTCTGGGTTAGATTTTTTTACTATGTGGGGAAATCATGGTCTGACGGGCTTCCTGTGTCTAGGGTGTTTGCAGCTTCTGTTGACTTACATAGACTCTGGCGGGTTCAGTAGCCAGCGAGCTCATCGCTTTCTGAGCTTTTATGAATGTCTCTTGGTCATCTATTTTTTTTCAATAATTCTTTTAGAAATGTAATAGATTTGAAAAAACTTTCACTTTTGTCAGATACGGTTTGGAATTGAGTTTCAAAGTTGAGAGAAAGGCAAGGGAAGAGAGAAGACACAAACACGATTGCATGAATTCCTTAGCCTCAGAGAACTGGCTACAGAGGGCAAAACAGGGCTTTGATTAGTGTGATGGATTGAGCTAGTCACCAGTCTTACTAGTACTGAGTTTAATGCAGCTTGAGGCCAAGTCCTTGAAGGTTGTTGGAGCTCACCAAAGACCTGTCCACAGGAGGAGCTTTGTTAATAGCAAGGGAAGTGTGAACTCAGCATTGCTAGCCCCAACATCCATACAATCCCCTCCCTGAAATCAGTGGGAATGTAGCTACCACAAATCCGTAGCTGCTCTGTTGTGAACCTTTCCCTGTGCTTGGATCACAAGCGGCAGGAGAAGGGAATGCCTTATTCGCAGCTCTGACTCCTTAGAGCTCCCAGGAACAGCAGCAACAGCTCTGGACAAAAGCAGGGCTCCTTTTGTGTAGCAGGAGGTTCTTGAATGCGATTCCCTATCAACAGAGAGGTTTTACTGAAATAACAATTCATATTTCTTGTAAAAAAAGGGCTCTGGTTCTCTTCTCCTTTTCCTAATCCCTTCCCTTCTCTCACTTGCCTGTTCCATAATAACAAACCAGGCAACAACTTTTTGTCCACCTTATTTTATTGCCATTTCCAGCCTGGAACAAGCAACATCTGGTACATTCTTGCTGTTTTCCCTAGTTTCAGACATGTTCTTCGGCAAGGAGAGGGATTTTCTGAATGCCTCATGGCTGAAGGAGCTGCAAAGTCCAAAACACGAAGCCCCAGGGTTCTGTGGGGTGGTGTCCTTAAGTGCTGTCAAAGCCAAGCACAGCAATCTGGGCTCCGTCCACCCCGCCGCAGGGAAAGCAGAAAACCTGCATCTTCCACCTGGGAAACAGTCCTGGGGTAGAAGTGCCCAATCCCCCATCCCCATCGTGTTTGTGTTACAAGTGGGAATGAAGACCCCGAAAAAAAGAAAATACATATTTAAAGCTGCTGCTGAAGACACTGGATTTGGAGAGGAAGATCTCTCTAGACTTGGGGGAGTGTATGAGAGTGGCTGTGGGGGCACGGCGGCGGTACTTCCATGCTTTGACAGAAGGGTTACCTGGCAGGTGTTACCGGCAAAGGCGGCAGGACCGCCCGACCAGTCCGGCTGACGGACTTGCCTGACTGACACCCGCAAACTGGGGGATGTGGCAGCATCGGGTCTTGAAACATGAAGTGCTGGACCACAGCTGTCCCTGTTCTGCGGCGAGCTGCAATGATGGCCACCATGCTGTCGTGGTGGAGAGGTTACGTGGTGTCAGTGCCAGAATGGCTGGGGGTGATGATGATGATGATGATGATGTGAAGCGCTCGGTGCTATCTGCACCGCAGGGTGGAAAGGCTGGGAGGGGGTGCACAGTTTGTGTCTTGGGACAGAAATAGTCAAAGGAAATTAACTTTGTTAATGTAGTTAAATTTGAAGCACTCCATAGATATCTGACAAACTTTTTTAATAGTCTTCCTCCTTTGGTCAAACCTGCAACAGCTCACGCTTACTTTCTCTGTAGCTTATTGCACGTGCTTTTGCATCATTGCAACTGCTGCACTTGAAGGAGGGTGCCCTCCCCTCAGAGCTGTTGCCTGGTGCTGCGTTGACCCCAGCCAGCAGCGAAGCCCCCTCACAGCCATCCGCTCCCCCTGCCCCAACGGGACAAGGGAGAGAATAAGAAAAGCAGAAGTGAGCAAACTTGAGGGTTGAGATAAGAGCAGTTTACTAAGTGAAAGAAAAAAGGAAAAGAAAACAAATGGTGCAAAGGCCGCGCACCGTCTCCCCTACGTGACTGATGCCCAGCCAGTCTCTGAGCCATGGTTACCCTTGGAGGCAAGACCTCCACCCCCTTGTTCCTCTTCCCAGCTTTTAGTGTTGAACAAGTCGTTGTACAGTATGGAATTGGTCAGTTGGGGTCAGCTGTCCCACCTGTGTCCCCTCCCAACCCCTCACCCACCCCTAGCCTACCCACGGGGGGACAGCGTGGGAAACGGGCGGTCTTGGTGCTTTGCAAGCACTGTTCGACAACAGCAAAAACATTGGTGTGTTATCAGCACTGGTTTGGTCACAAACCTAAACCATGGCATCACACTTGTTGTTACGAAGGAAGTTAACTCTATCCCAGCCAGGCCCCAGTATGTGGTGGGAAACTTCAGCGTGCAACACAACGTAATGGAAATTTTTGTTTGTTTGTTTGTTTTAAGAGAATCCAGAAGAGAGAGATGGTAGACGTGGTTGTGAGCCTGCAAGGCACAGAGAGCCCTGAACTGAGTCAGCCTGCAGGAATGGACACAGCTTACAAAGGCCTAGGGAGGGATGGTATTTATTTACAGCATTTTTTTTTATTCTTCCTTATTCAGCAGGTCTGAATTCCCAGTTGTTGTAAATTCTGGGAAATTATGGAAATTGTCAGCATGGTTCAAACATTGCCAAATTCAGTGTACTTTTTTGATAGGACACAAAGTGGAAGTATTCTTCGAGGAGTAGGTGTTTTCCAACTCCAAAACCTAGGGGAAGGCTGAGTTTTTGAAGCATATTAGGCTAGCGCCTATCTGTGTGTGCAGAGGAGAAGCGACTAACGTGTGTGTTCGGTTTGGGTCCCTCGGCAAAGGGCTGTCTCCCTGGAAGCATTCCCGCAGGGAGCTGGATGGTGCTGGGCTGCCTCTCCTAGACACCAGTCCGTCACACAATGGGGGCTTTAAGAGAAAGACTAGGAAATACAGAGTTAAGAAAGAAGTAAGCGAAGTGTTAAGAATGGTGTTACCATGAACCATGCTTTGGAAATTTCTTGTGAGCTTTAGATGACAGCTAAAGCATCCATGCTGTCTTCTCTGACCGCTATAGTTTGCAGTACACATTTTATCTCTCTTTACCCTAATTCTTCAGCTCCAGAAGCCATGGAGCAGCCAGCCTTCCTCACCTGCCCCTTCCTAGACCTCTGCACTTGTCAAGCTCCAGCAGAGCTTTCCCCCACCAAGCCCCTCCTGAAGCCCCCGACAGCTGAAATCTCCCGCCTAGGCTTAGGTCTGCGTGAGGACTTTCTCTACAGTAATGAGAGAAGCAGCAACACAGCTGATGTTGCTGTGGTAGAAAAGTTGGTTGTATTTCAGGGTGCTTAAGACACACAACCCCACCAGCCAACCCCCCTTTAACCCACTGTACTTCATTAACAAATGTCCAGTCTGGTATATTTTGTTGCTCAGCCTTTTGCGTATAGATTCCAGTTTGAATCGAGGACAGGGGGAACTTCGTGGTACTGGAACTGGTGGCTGGGTTGGATGCTATCCAATAGTAACTTCATTTTAAATAGTTCAGTTTGTTACTTTATTCCCTGTTTTGAGCTAGACTGAAAGCTTGCAGCTAAGTGGAAAGGACACAAAGGGGAGCATTGATCAGAGAGAAGCTTTGGGTTATCGTGCCTGGGAGGGGTTGGGGCCACTCAGGTTGGATGCTCTGCGTCTCAGCAATTACTTCTGAAGTCAGGTTCCTGCTTTTTTGGAGAATCCTTTCCTTTCACAGGCTTTGCAGGTAGGTGAGCTCCTCTGCACTGAATTTGGCTTTTGTGAACATCCATGTCCTTGCCCAAAGAGGAACTGTAGAAGTGCCACGACACAGAGTTTGAGGGCTGCGCACAGCAGGTATGGAAACAGAGAAGGCAGCACTTCAGTTGAGAGGAATGGGTGGGTTTTTTTCCCTTTTCCCCCAAGAGTAATTGGGTTTATTTGTTGACACAAATGAGCAGGCACATCTGAAATGTATTGGCTTGTATTATGTATTCTATATGCCAAACTAGGTGATAAAAGGTAATTTTGCAATTGATTGTAGCAAAGCAAATGAGAAAGCCCTTTAAAAAGGAATCTGTAGTAATACAGTTGGAGTGAAACGTGTTTTTACAAACTCTACTAAATAATGGCAACCTGTTTATTTTATCAAAAAAGCTTTATTTCTATAACACTTTATATATAGTGTACTACTAAGTAACGGTAATTAAAAAAAGTCATGTTGCTTTTTTCGAAGTCTGGCCATTCCTTTACTCTTGCTGTTCTACACGAATAGGAGGAAAGCAGGGTCATTCTGACTGAGGGAGGACTCGGCATCTCCCAGCGCAGCCCTACGGGCACCAGCTGTAGCAGGATAAATGGCATTAGTAATCATCATAGTTGACACCTGCTCCGTGCCTGAAGGTGTGTGGATTTCGTGGGCCAATTGGTGAATCTTCGTCGTAGTGGTGTTGGTAGTACCCACCATAGTATTCATTACGAGCACGCCCTAAGCTTGTCCAGTAGGAGATGTCATCTTCAAATTTCTGCCGAAAAAAGAAAATACTTGCTTTCCAAGCCTGAAACTTTACAATGAACAGAGTGAAACAGAAGTGGTGCAAGAGGTTCCTTTTGTCTCTTTCACAAATTCAGATCCTTTGCTATTTGTCAAAATGAAATCTTAAATCTAAGGGGTTTTGTGACTTGTACCTACCTTCTCCATGGGATTATCAGGGTCCCGAGTGCAGGAATTGTCCTACCCAGCCTCACCTGGCACCCACCCCTGCACCCTCTGCCCGCTGTAAAATGCTTAAACTGAGAGCACCTGCAAGTGAAATAGCCACTGAGCACCTTTCATATTTCTATCACCTTTTCAGTGGAGGACTATAAAAACATTTCAATGTTTTGCACTTAAAACCTAAAGGTTTGGTTCTCCATTGCCCTGTGCCTTTAGTCATGATGTCCCTGACTCCAAAGTGGGTGCAACAGGCTTTTGCTTTATGCCTGTGATCTTTCACTCCCATTTTGCGTGGGTAAAAACGAAGGTACGGTGCAGCCTTCTAGCTATGGAAATGCAATAAGCAGTTCAATTCTGCTCACAACAGCAAAGGAAAAACAGTGTGCAAGGATATCAAATCCTTGCCAAGCCAAAGCCTTTCCATCTGAATGATTCTTTGGAAATATTTTTGGCTGAGATTTGGAAAAAAAAAAAAAAGTTTTGCAAAATACACAATGGGTAAGTAGGGCCCAAGTCCTTTGCTGGAACAAACAGTTATTTCATTGTTAAAACTGTGTCTTAATGCTCAAGAAAACCCACTAAGTGGATTCATTGTATCCCACAACAGGCCCCATTTCAGTTTTTGAAATGCACACAGGAACTCGGAGGAGAATTCATCTTATCTGCATGTTTTCTTCTTACTACTTACTTCTTGGTGTTTGCCCCCAGTCTTCAGTTTCTGATGCATTAAACCACTTTTCCTATTTTTCCTATTCCCGTTGGGGGAGGGGGATACAGCCATGCTGTTAAAAAGTCACTTCTATCTGCATAATGCCCAGGCGGATACGAAAAAATGTATCCTTCAGTATTTCAGTCCAAGCAAAGGATTATTTTTCTAATTGCTCCAGCTTTGAAAATGAGTGTATTCATCTTCTAAGCAATCCACATCGCGTGAAGGTCCAAAACGTATTCCAGCTTGCCTGTGCCGATGCGATCTCATTAAACGTATTCACGCAGCTGACAGAAGCCAAGAATTCAACGTCTGTAACTATTTCTACCTCTTATTAATGTAGAAATTATTCTACATGTGAGACTGTAACTAAATGCAGGGGTTTTGCCCTATTTCAGCATCTATTTAGTAGAGCTTTGTGCAGAGGTGGGAACTCTTGATTCCATGCCAGTGTTTTTACAAATTAACTGTTTTAAAAGAATGCATCCTTCTCATTTGAAGGGAGGTTGGCTGCACGTTATCAGACGGTTTTGCTTTCACGTTTAGAGTTGAGGCACAGCTGCCGGTGCTCGCGATGGTCAGGAGCTGCCCGCACCATGGAGGCACACGTGTGCGTTAGGGACATAACATCAGTGCAATTTCATGGAGGAATGCCAGTCATGACCAGCTTTGGTGTGGATTTCTCAGCGTGTTTAAAAGCAAATTGATTAGGTTGAGGTTGCCAAATTAATTTCCTGAAATGTGATTGATTGCTTTGGGTCTGGCTGCTTATTTCTCAAAGTAAACTTTGTACATCCATTTGCAATTTATTAAGCTTAAGTTTGGTAGCGGGCAAGAACTCCACGCACGATTTTAATGACCTTTTTTTCTATTAACAAAACAATGCAGAAATCTCTAACAAATTAGAGAGCTTATATTTCTGTGCGACATTTGCTACTTTAAAAAAAGAAATGGCAGTATCTGGGAACAGAAGCAGGGCAGCTTCTCCCAGGGTGCCCCCGCGGCTGCGCATCCGTGCTCGCAGCCCTCCCGACCCTTGGAAGCCCGATGCTCACCGCCTCATCGAATCCCAGGTACAGGAACTGCTGGTACCACTGCTGTACGTCGGGCTGGCTTCTGTCCCACAGCTGGCGTCGCTGCCGTCTCAGGCTGCTTAGGAACTCCTTGGCCGTCGTTTCTTTCACCGACACCTCGGGCTTCGTGGCAACAGGGGCTGAAATTAATTCCACCCCCAAAAGGCATGCCAGGAAATTTTTAGTCGGCCTGAAGCGTACTGCTTGCAGCAAGTAAGAAAATGCTTCTTAAACTGTGCCATCACCTTTGTGCTTGGCAGTGCATGCGTGTAGCAGCAGTAACAGTAATAAACCCAGGAATCATCAATGTAATAGGATTTCTTAGCTACCTTCATCCTCTTGGATTTTTGAAAAGCTGTTCTGAGCTCAAAGACAGAAGCTAAGTGAAGAATTTAAATAAACAAACGCAAACTCAAAAAGCGTATACACAATGTGTTTGTGCTTTCAGGAGAGAACAGCAGACTGGCCTCTGTGTGCTGCTGTCGCAGAAATGGGAATGAAGATGAGAGATGAAGTTAAAAAGCCTGAAGAAGCTGGACACTGCTAATTTATTAGGGTAAAGGGAGGCACGCACAAAAAGATTTTTGAATCTGTTGTGTAAAAAATGTCACTTTTAAATGATGAGTGCTACCAAATGCCCTGTGTGCCTGAAAATAAAAGCCCATCAGGCTTTCGTAGCACACTGCTTGGTGGATGCGTGGGAACGCCATCAACCTGCCAGACCGACATGCCGTCTGGCTTGCCCCATGCCTAAGAAGCAGGCAGTTTGCTGCGGCTGCTAGGGGGATTTACGTACCTCCAAAAGGTATGGATGTGAGGACTGGCTAGCCCCCGGCCACGCGCCGAAATGACAAAACGTGGTGTGATGTTTGGTCTTCCCGTGAAACGAGAAGCATGTGTAGGAGTAGGAGGAACGTCTTGGCTTCAGAGAGTTCATTGCAATGAGGGAGAGACCAGGAACATGGGTGTGGATGAGGATTTTCAGAGGATGCGGGGCACGCAGGGAAGTGGGGTGGAGATGTGAAAACCATTGAAGTAGGAGCCGGGCAGACTCACAGTGGGAGGCACCGGACTGCAGCGGGAAGGAGATTCAAGAGGTAAAAGTGACAGATGAGTTGTCGGAGGAAGAGTGGGAAACAGCAGGGTGCCCTGCGGGGATGAGCTGGGAACTGCTAACTCGCCGTGCGCTCGAGCTGGGTGTTTTTACTGGGAAGCAGGACAGCTGAACAAATGTCGTGGGAATGAGCCTCAGCCCAGGGACACTGCCAGCAAGGGAACCGGTGCTGCCTACTCGGCCGGCTCGCTATAGCACAGAACTCGAAAAGGGGAGTGAGGCTGGAATTAAGGGGCTGCAGATTCCTTCCATCGTCAATTTAAGGCTTTGCAGTTCTTCCCGGTCTAGGCCGTGTTGTCTGCACACTCCAAAGGCCTCCCCTTGGGCTGTCCCTCTCACCAGGGGACCTGAACAAACAGGCGGACGGCTGCTGGGGCGCAGGGAGGGTTGCAGTTGCAAGTGGTCGCTCCTATCTGCGTGCAAGCACGGCAGAATGGTGAGGCAGGGAACCCACACGCAAGGAAAACAGCTGTGGATGGGGCACGCGTGTCAGGGCTGGCAAGAGGTGGTGGGTGATGCCAGGAAAAACCCAGTGAGAAGTTAGGCAGGCTCGCAGAAAGTAGGATTTCCTTCCACGAGAGGTGTAAATTCTTGGCCTCAGCCACAGAGCAGGCTGAGGGGAGGCAAGCAAAACTTTTGGGGTGTTTCAGCCTGTACCCCATCTGCTGCAGTGCTGCTTGTCCCCAGCCAACTCCATTTCCACCCCCTTCCCTCAACCAGCGAGCCATTCGGTGCGTCTCCCCGCTGGGCCCTTGGCCGTCATCCTTCCCGCAGAGAGAGCAGTCTTCCAAGAAGGAAGCACACGTGGGGCCGAGAGGACAAAGGGAACAAGTCAAGGCATCGTGAGCAAGCCTGGTTTGCACATTTTCTTCTCTGCACCTGAGCCAGCAGTATTTCCATACATTATAATTCCTCGGAAAAACTTGTGACTTCCCAGAATAAACCAGATAAACACCACGTCTGCCATGCATACACTGGAAAAGGTAGGTGCTATACGCTGCGCAGAGCAAAACGCAGGGGTACTGCCTGGGGCTGGGGACCCTGGTTTTTAGAGGGGCTGTGATTAAGCGGAGCCTCCAGCCTTGCCCGTACGGAGTCCCAAGCGGACCTGCGGGCACAGGGATGGGAGGTTTTGGTGGGGTACGTAGCGAGAGCAGCTCTGTGCTACCCGCTTTGAAGCGGGTGCTTGTACGCCGCTCCTCTGCCTGCCCTCTTTGAGCTGGAGATCCAGCGACAACACTTTGGCAGGTTTGACTGACAGCAACGGACTCAAAGGAAAAATAAGGGAAAGCACTTTGCTGTTCCTTTACTTACCTTCTCGTTTCTGAAGCATCAGTTTAAGCTTATTTCCCCTTGAAACATCTAGACAAGTAAAAATAAAACACATACATTTACTAACAACAAAAATTGTATCTCAAAAAATACTGAAGGTATTTTTGTCATAGCTCCAACCCACCAGGTAATACTCTGCAAAAAGTTTTTCCCGGTGCCTCCCTTTGCTCCCGTTTCCGCACTTGAGCACAATACAGACTGCAGGGAAGCCCCTGCCACTCCAGCATCCTCTCCCCAGCTCTTCTTGCCAAGAGAACCCCGATACCGGCCTTCTTCGCCAATTAAATTATTATTATCTTTTTCGGCAGAAGACCACAGCCAGTGCCAGTATCGTGACATAGCGTCCACGATAACCCTGGGAAAACCCCGGTCACTGAGCGAGGGGCACACTAACCACCGGACTGCTTCCAAATTTTCCCTCCCAGCCTCTCCCAAGGCCCATCAGAGCCCTCGTCCCGCCGGAGCCCCATCCCAGAAGGGCTCCGAGCCTTCAGCCCACGGCCGGGCGGTGCAACAGGAGCCCTGCAAGCGCTCCGCTGCTCCAAAACGCTTTTTTTTCCCCTCGAAACCAAGTTCTTTAAAAAAGATGCTCAACTTGCCCAAGGTTTGGAGTG